AGGCCCCGGGCCGGGAGTGCTTTCCCCCACGTGGGGGGGAAAGTTTGGCAGCTCCGTTTGGCAGTTCCGTTAGGCCGTGTCCGGCTCTTCCCGGCGCGCAGTGTTGGTTACTGCACTTAGCGCCTCAGGCGAGGGGCAGAGCGGGGCTGCTGGTAACACATGGCTGCCCTGGGCAGCACCTGGGCCACAGGAGCGCCTATTCTGCCACGTGTGTCCACCTGCCACTGCGGTATTGGGACCTCATGAAACCCAGCGCAGTTCAGTGTGGTGGGTGCTGCTGTCGGTCAGCTGGCGGGATGTGGAGCCCAGTGTGAGACATGGCAGGTTGGAGTGCTGGTTGTGGTGGCTGAGTTAGGCACAGCTGGGCTGATCACAGCTTTATGGGATGTGACAAAGCTGCTTATTTCTGATAGATCCCTGCAGAGTGAAGTGGAGGCAGCTGAGGTAGCAGGAGTGAAGTGTGTGATCAGCTTGGTTGCTTGCTTGGGAGCTCCACCAGCACCCATGCTGGTGCTGCCCTAGAGAGGTGTTTTTTGCCCTGAAAGGGCCTGTCTCTCGCTGCCACTGTTGGAGAAAGAGTTTCAGGGTGAATGTAACAGAGTTGCTGCAGCTTAATGGTGACTGGTGGGCAAGTGGTTAACCTGCCCTGCTGGACTTTGTTCTGGGATGGGCTGTTTGCCTCAGTTTCTTATCAAATTGTCTCCTATTTCCTTTAGTATTTCTCTTCTACCTCTCTTTCCATATACTTACTCTTTTCTAGCCTTATCTTCCAAAAATGGTGGTTAAGGTGCTGTTTGCTGCATTTTGTTGTAACAAGTTGCTGTGATCCATTTCCCTTTCTCTGCCTTCCAGTTGCTTTGTCTCCTTCCACAACCAAAGTGTCTGAATCCACAATGCTGTTGTTTACTGTCTGCACTGAGTTCTAGCACAGTGACTCTGACTGTGGTGAATAGCTTGTTGTTAATATGTTAAGTATAACAGAAAATAACTAAACTCGCAGGGCTAAAGATGTCAAAAAGATGTCAAGTTAATTAGCCCCAAAGCAAGAACACCCTGGGATGTCTAGCTTATTCTTCCTTGTCCATTGGTAATTATTTCACTACTACAGTTTTTACTTTCAGAGTGTTTTCTTTGGTCTGTAACCAAAAGCTTCCATGTTATAATTTGTTTATTGCATCTCGTCATATTCATCATGTCGAGGAACAGATTATTTCTTTGCTCTCCCTGTCTGCAGCTGCCTTTTGTGATTTTGAAGGCCCCACTGTCTTCCCTTCCTTATTCAGGATAGCCCTGATGGGCATAGTATGTCGTAACTCTTAGAGTTATGATCAGTCTTGTTATTATCTGGATTCTGCCTGATTGTCCTCAAGTGTTTTTGCAGGTGCAACTGCAGCTCATGCTGTGCTAGGGTAAAATCTCATGGTAAGAGGAGCAGTGATGTGAGCAGAGTGGAGAAGGCCTGAAAGAGGCTGCCTTGAATGTTCTCATCTCGAACATGACCTCTCTTGTGTCTGTTTTGCCAACAACCTACAAAAAAACTGTAGTTTTCGTAGTTAACTTACTAGTTAACAAAGAGCTCTGGAGGGAAGACAGGGTACTTCATTTCCATCTGAATGTGCTTCTCCAAGTTGTCATGGGTTTTGTCTCTAATTGTGAATGCAACTTTTTGCCTTGCAAGCGTGGCTTTAATCTCTCACAGTAAGAAATGCTCCCACTTTTTTCCTCTATCATCTAATTATACCCATTTTTATCCCTTTGTATTTTGCCTATGAAGTGTTCAGGATGTGGGTTGTCTTTTTCTGTGTTCAGCCCCGTGTTTTGTTGAATTAGGGTTGCAAGTGTAATGGAAATAGAAATATGTGCCTTACAGACATTCTTTTAAAAAGCTTCACTTATTATTAGCACACCTTTATTAAGCAGAGTGGATGGTTCTTTTATAATTTTAAATTTCAGAAGAAAGAGGAAAAAAGAAAATTCATGGGAGAAAAGCTCCAGCTGGAGAGTGAAGGAGGTGGGAGTTGAAGGCCTTTTTCTCCTTTCCTAAGGAAAGGGAATCGGATCCAGGGGTTGCAAGAAAAGGGTTCAGCAAAATAACAATGGCCTTGAAATTTTGCATTTGAGGCAACCTAAGGAGCAACTACTGCTGGGGGAACAAAACATGTTCATGCTTTCCTTTATTCTTCATGGATGCCAGATTTGGCATTTGCATGATCCCACTGTGAATCGGTCTGCAGAAATTGGCAATAAATGATCAAAAAGAATAGGCTTTGCTGTCTGAGCTGCCCAACATAAGACACGATGGGACCAGGCAAAGCCCAGAAGTGGTGCATGGGGGGTACTGAGACAAGGGAAGGGAAAGCACTTGCCAGTAGATTGACTTGGATGTAGCTTGGAACTGCAGCTGAAGACATCAAATGAGATGCAGCTGTGTCAAACAGCTTTTATGAAGTGCCAAACAAGAATGTTCTCCTGTGAGTGGTTAAAGTGATTAATACTCAGTGGTTCCCCAAGGCTATGGATGGAAAATAAACCTTTCAGCCAGTTGTGAAACTGTGATACCTTTGTAATTAAGTTGCTGTCTGCAGAACAGTGGACATGCTCAGATAATGAATGGGCAGATGCGTTGTTGATCAAAGTGTTTCAGCCCTTTCCAAGAATCACAGAGACAGAACTGCTGGTTGCTTGTGAAGTGCTCAAACAATAAACAGGAAAAATGACCTACCCACAGCCTTATAGCATAATGAAGTGTGCCCTCTATTCAGATGATATTAGTGACTTTTGAAAGCAGTTGATAGTTGTTGTTATTAATGACCTAATTGTAATTTAAGCAGGGATATTCTGAAGCATGAGACAGATGTTCCTGGTACTCCTGATGCATGAATTTTTAATTTTTTGAATTACGAACCACATAGATCAGAAATTAAGCCCTTTAATATAATACTGACTATGCTGTCAACACTGAAAAGGCCGTTAATGCCTTTTCTTGACAAGGAGTTTCAAAAATTGCCTTCAGTAGACTTTAATTAGAAGGGGGAAGAAATAAAGCCAATGCTTCGAAAATCTTAAAATTGGATTTAAAAGATGATTTCTCTTATTCTTTCTACTGTGTAGAAATCCGAGTCCACTGCAGCAAACTTCCAGCAGACCTTCTCAGCACGTCCTATTGGTCCAGGCTACAGCAGGCTAAGGAGCTCATCAAGGCAGAGGTAGGAACTGGACATCTTGTACCTCAGAGATGCCTTCACTTCCCAAGCCCACGACCTCCTGGAGCTGCAGAGCCAGGGGGCTATGCTGTGCTCTGTAGGGAGGTGGGATCAGCGAGCTGAAAACTCCCCTTTCCCTTGGTTGCTCAGCGCAGGATGTCGGAGCTGAGCGATGAAGCCAGCGAGTCGGAGCTGCTGAGCCGCAGCCTCTCCATGTGGCACGGGGCCGGCCAGATGATCTGCCGGGAAGAACTGGACGTTCCCTTGGACTTGCATACAGCTGCTTCTGTTGGCCAATATGAAGTGGTACAAGAGCGTATTCAATGGTAAGGGTTGGAGAGGGTATAGGTCTGCTGCTTAATTCCAATTATGCTTTTTTTTTGCTGACTGTCATATAAGTCTGCGTAACACTGGGACAAGGTACATGACTGGAACTTCTGCAGTGTTTTTAGGCACAAAGTTGGGAGGAGTGGGTGTACTGGTGGAAAATTACTGCCTCATTTATTGTGTGGAAGTTATTCTACAGCTGATAACTCTCATATGGACAAAGTTTTGGTGTTAGGATTCTTTTTTCCACCCTTCTTTCAGTGCAGTGATGATAGGAAGAGGTTACCTACTGTGACCTACAGCTCCAGGCCAGTGGTTAAGCAGAATTCTTTTCTCTGTTATTTAGTGGAGATCTGGATTTAAATAAGAGGAACTGTGGTGGCTGGACTGCACTGATGTATGCCTCCTACATTGGTCATGACACCATTGTTCATCTGCTGCTGGAAGCAGGAGTGAATGTGAACATCCCAACGCCAGAAGGGCAGACACCACTCATGCTGGCCTCCAGCTGTGGAAATGAAAGTGTTGCTTATTTCCTTCTCCAGGTGCGTGTCCAGTACTAAGTAGGTAAAACCACCCCTGCATGGTTTAGATCTACAAAGAGAAGGCTTCTCCTTTAGTTGGACCAAACTGCAGTCTTTGATCTGTTGCGAGTTCAGCTTCCTGACAGGGATTTAAACTTTCTTGGCCTCACAGCAGAGGGGCAGTGACTAACAGACCCAGCAGAGGGGTTGCAGTAAAGAACCTTCTCTGTTCTCTTGAAGCAAGGCGCGGAGCTGGAGATGAAGGATATTCATGGTTGGACAGCCTTATTTCACTGTACCAGTGCTGGACATCAGCAGATGGTGAAGTTCTTACTGGACAATGGTGCAAATGCCAACTGCAAGTAAGGAGAAATCATTTCTCAAAGATGTCTCTAATATTTCAGGTAGGGATCATTTTTGATTCCAGCCCATATGGATGGGTTCTTTTTTTCTGTCTCTCTCTAGGGAGCCTGTGTATGGGTATACTCCTCTGATGGAAGCAGCTGCTTCTGGCCATGAGATAATTGTTCAGTACCTTCTCAATCATGTAAGTGTCTAGTTTCTGTAAAGCTGAAATCTGTGGTTCCACACCTCAGAGCTGGGCGTTCAACACCAGACTACTTAGTTATGCTTGGTTCCTGATGAGTCAGCTCTGAAGACCCAGCCATCCAGAGCTCTTCTGGAAGTATGTTTTCACAATGGTAGTGCTCTGAATCTTTGCTGGCTTTGAGTGAATAGGATTGAGATCCACTTGTCCAGATTTTACCAAATAATGACTAAATAGGTAAGCAATGAATGCAGTTACCCCTGTGTTGTGTTTGCATGTTTCTATACTCTAGATAGTGGGAAATTGTGACTCTCTTCTAAAGCTTGTAAACTTTCATGTCCCTTGATGCTGCACAGTGTCTTTTTAATATCCTGCTTAATTGGTTCAGCTTCCTTCAAGAAGGAAGCAGCAAAGCAAAACCATATTTTTGGTAAAACAGACTAGTTTCTATGGGCAGTTCACAAGAGCACAATACCTGGTTCAGTCAGCTTTTTGGAACTGGGCTAAATTAGACAACAGTGAGTAATTAGTGGAGCTTGAACTATATCAAAGGTGAGCCTGTATTTCTAATGGGTTTGGAGGAAATAGGACTTTTTTTCTTTAATGTCTTATATAATTGCCTTTGCTGCATAAATGAAATGTGCTTTTCTGTAGGGTGTAAAAGTAGATGTGAGAGATAACACTGGGGCTACAGCACGAACACTGGCCATGAAGTATGGACATATGAAGATTGTGGGGTTGATAGACTTGCATACTGCCCCAGTGCCTAAGGTCTTCTGCAGGGGTCCAGGTAACAGAAGTGTTTTAATTCATCTCTCCTCAGGCTCTGTTTAAAAATGAACGCTTGTTGCTTGAAAGCATGTAACAGCATGTAATTATTTGTGTAGGGGTAGTCTTGGCCATCTGGGATGTCGGCCATTTCTCCCAGTTTTGCATCCTCAATATGCTTGCGGAGAGCGTACTCTATCCCATCATCCGGGTCACTGAGGAATAAGTTGGACAGGATCGGAGGTCGGGCTATGCGTCTATCTACAGGCCTCCTACTAGGCTTTGTGTCACTGATCCCAGTCCCCTGAGCTCTACCATTCAGCCACTTTTCAATCCACCTCACTGTCTGCTCATCTAATGCACGCTTTGTAAGCTCATCTATGAGGATGTTACGGGAGAACAGTGTCAAAAGTCTTCCTGAAATCAAGGTTTCCCATGTAGTTGCTCCCTGGGACCTACTCCTTGCCCATTCTAAGACTGGAGTGACGAGCAACTGGAGTGAAAGAGGTGTGGATCCACACCTTGGGTGTGCTGCCACTTTCTTCCATAGTTAACTTTTTTCATTGTTTTTCACAGGACCAGTAGCAAGTAAAGTAGGATAAAATAATACACTGCTAACAGGCTTTGTTTTGACCACAGGAAAATATGAAGATTTGAGCTCTTCAGATGAATCGTGTTCTGCCCCTCAGAGGCAGAGACCCGTTCGTAGGAGCAAGGGTCCCAGCATTCATGAAGGGCCACAGGCTTTGGCCAAGATAACAGCAGTTGGAATTGGCGGAAAGAAGCAGTCTCGCTATGGTGAGAAAAATAAAAAACTAAACAGTCTTTTTTGATATCTTAAGCACTCTGAAGCTCTTTCTTGGTTTTTTTAATATTTTTTCTGTGGAGCTTCTACTGAAGAAAGTGGCAAACACACTCATGCTTAGCTGCGTTTAGCTTGGTCACTGTTTCTGTGCCTCTTGAGTAGTCCAGCCTCCTTTTTTGGAGGTTGATTTAAAAGTTTGAGCAGTTCCTAAGCTAATGGAGTAAGCAGTTACACAGACCAAGACCACTACACCACTACATGCAATGGTGTGAGTTTTGCTTTGTACGCATGACAATAGCTAGTCTTCAAGTTGATTATGTTGTTGTTTAGAATAGCTACAAATATGAGCGTAGAAGCATGTTTAGTAAATTCTCTTAGCACAGATACATGCTACCACCTGGGCAGTGACTGTAACAAAACAGTACTGATAGCTTCTGAAATTGTAGTGGGATCCTACCAGAGTGTTAGCACAGATGCAGGAAGTTTGGTTTTGCAGAATGTGCTTGGCTTGGTGAGGAGCAGAGACACAGTCTGCGCTTTGTTCTGTCTCAGTTGTTTACTCCCAGACTATCGGGAAGGAAAGAGGGGAGAAAATGCTGAAAACTTTAAGGTGCACCTCTGCTACAAGGCTGATGCCACAGTCTACATAAAGTACACTTGGTGTGTTTTTGTGTGAAGGAACTTATAGGCATATACATTTCTCAATCTTTCTCTGTGTTGTCTAAATAGAGCCTGCCGGTTCAATATACAGTCCTTTCTTTGGATCAGCAACCCTGAATGATAGCTGGTCATTGCCCTTCCTCTTGCTAGAGCCTTTCTGATGATTTGCATCTGAATTTATTTGCTTGTTCTGTCCTTCTCTTGCACACAGAGCAGGTCCCTCTTCAGGGCTATGTTACATTCAATGATGATGGCAGCTGTGGAGCAGATGATATCCGGAATCGGGATGTTACCTCTCCAATCAATGAGCAGGATGTGGAGAGCAGCAGCAGCAGGGGTAAGTCCCTGTGTCAGAACCTGGCTTGCAGAATCCACCTGCATGTGGCATGTGCTCCAGCCTGTGTGCAGCCCTTTGCCTTGTGTGCTCCTTTCCTGAGCTGCTTAGCCTGGTTAGACAGCAGTGATCACACCATTGCACCTGTGGCTAAGTCTGTGGATGATGCTGACCCTGTTGTCCAAGCAGTGAGTGTGGTGCCCTAATGGACGGAGCAGGGAGAAGAAAGGATCTGTGGAGACTGAGTTTAGCAAAGGAAAATGTTGCTTTATATTGGCACAGTGTTCAAGGGAAGAACTTTCCTAGACTTTAGTAACAGGGGTACTGGCTTGGTTGTTAAAATCCCCATTCACGCTGCTACCAAGAACTTCACCGATATCTGTATCGTCAGCCTGCGCTCTCTGTGATACTAAGACTTGGGAAGAACAACTGCCTGGGATCAGACATGAAGTTTTGCTCTGGGTGTCTCCTTTCTTTACAACTCCCAATAGTTTGTGTGGTGTGTGGTTGTGTGTGTTTATTTTGTTTTTTCTCCTCTGATTAGCTGTGTGACACAGTCAGGACTGAACATAAGGAAACTGATTCTTTGTTTCTCTCTTGTTCCTCCTGCTTTCCAGAGGGGAATGTTTTCTGCACCAACAACTTGACAGCCATCAGGAGCAGCAGCAGCAGTAGTGAATGTCTGCCCAAAGCCCCGGGCATCAGCAGTGAAGGTTCCCTGGAGAGCAATGAGGTGGGGTGTCCATTTTCCTTGATCTTCATCTTGTCTGATGCTGTCATTCTTCTGCAAACTGTTATGACCCTCCCTCCACAGGAGGCTGTAGTAGCAGGCTAGGTGAAGGAAGGCAATACTGTAGAGTCAAGGCAATCTGTTTCCATATGTGCACATTACAAACTGGCTACTAGCCCAAGAGATTAACCAATCCAGCTCTTGGGGCATGGTCACTCTAGAGTAGTTCCTTGATGGCTAGTCATTAACTTTTAAATACTGTTTTTCCCAGCTTTGGAGCTCTTTCTCAGATGTCGTGTAGCTAGCAGTCTGGAAGGGATATTTTCTGTTACAGCTTGGACCAGCTCTTTAGCTGGGCATAATGATAAAATATAAGGTTTAAAGTAGTACAGCAATGCCACCTTGGCAGTTCTTAAGCATCATCAGAGGAAAAGGCAGGAGGTTTCTTGTGATTCAAGTCACAACTCATGTTTTGAAGCCAGCCCTGCATTTGTTTTAAGCATATATACAGAAAAGGATGATGTAGCTGGGCATGAACAAAGGTTTCTTGAGGTGCTTCTTGCGGAAGAAAACTGGCTGCGTTGTATTGCTTCAGGGTGTTTGTGTGCTTCAGTATCTTGCTCCCCAGCTTGGGGTTGCAAGTGACAGACCTTGTACTAGACCAATTGCACTCTAGCTGCAACTTTGGAGCTATTTGACTCACCCCTTTCTGGTAAAGGATTTGGAAGTCTTCAAAGCATGTGTTTCTGGGCCACTGCCTGGATTTAGCAAATGGGAATTGAATGACCCTGCGCTTTCTCTTTTTTCACTGTTTTCTTACACTTAATGATCCTGTCCTGACATCTTTACATGATTCTCCTTTACTGTTACATTTCCTGGGACAAGTCTTCTTTTTCAGGACTCTGACCATGCAAGTAGTCCTCCTAGTTGGAAACAGGCCAAAAGCTTTAAGATCAAGAACCGCTACAGCAACAGTGATAGCCAGTGGACACACTGCCCTGGGAAACCTGGGAGCTCTAGTCAGCATCTCATCCTTCCTGAGCCTTCTGTCTACACAGGACCCCAGGTAATTAAGGACAGAAAGTGTCCTCTGAAGCAGAGCACACTGTGCTACTGTATCAAGTTCTGGATGCTTTCTGAGGGTGTTCAAGCTTTGTTCTTGGCTCTATCATGTAAAAGGGCATTTGTCACCAAAATGTCTGTTATGCCAAACCTCTTCCTCAGCTGAGATGCTTGTGGAACAGCAGCTTCTGCAGCAAAGAGCAGCTTGCTTAGGTGTTCTGCTGCTCTGAAGGTTATTCCAGATCCTTTAGGTCTGTGAACATATCATCAAACGTGGCTGTGGTGGGGACTAGAGGATGTGTTGGCGTCTTCCTTGCATTATGTACAGAATGCAATGACTGCAGCCCCTAGGCCAGTGCTGTTGCACTCTGTGAGTCAGAGAAATGCAGTTACACAGTGCTACAGAAGCCTAGGAAAGCATAATGGCAACATGCAGAGGCAGATGTTGATGTTGAACAAGGAATGTGGTTCTCTTGTTTATGAGGGCATAAATAAGTTTGTTTTGGATGGACTGCAGGACCTGGCAACGTTCCTTGAGCAGATTGGGTGCCTGAAGTATCTGCAGGTGTTTGAGGAGCAAGATGTTGACCTTCGAATCTTCTTGACCCTCACAGAGAGTGATCTGAAGGAAATAGGCATCACGTGAGTAACTGTAATGTAATTCTCACATTTCCATTTACAATTCTCATAACTTCTGCCTTAGAAACAGCGTACACAGTCTGAACAGGAAAGTTTACCTGCTGAGTGCTTTTCTGTCCTGTACCTCTCTCCCACGCAACATTAAGTTGTTGGCTGCGACAGGCTCCTGCTGTTGGCAGTGCCTTGGAGGAGCCAGTAGGTTGCAGAGATCCTTGTGGCATCCCCTTGAGCCAGGGGTGGAATGGTGAAGTGTTTGCCCTCACTTCCCTAGCCTGTTTGGACCCAAGAGGAAGATGACTTCTGCCATTGCCCGTTGGCACAGCAACGCTCGACCCCCCAGCGATGCCCTGGAGTTGGCCTACGCAGATCGGCTGGAGGCTGAGATGCAGGAACTGGCCATTCAACTGCACAAGGTAAGAAGTCTTCCATGAGCTGCTCAATGGCTAATCACACTGCAGTAAGTGATTAGCAACCCAGTTATGTGCCTGGGAGCAGGTGTGTGAGAGGGTGTGATACAGCACTCCCACCTACTCCCTGTTCTGCCCTGCTGTAGAGGTGTGAAGAGGTGGAGGTGATGAAGGGCCAGGTGTGCCAGGAGCAGAAGCTGCGTGCGGTGGCTGAGAGCTGTTTGATGGAGCGGGATGAGACCTTGAATGATGTCCAGTGCCGTCTCAGAGAGGCTCAAGCTATCACCAAGAATGCTGGGGTCCTACTGGATCAAATCAAGTAAGTTGTTATCAGAAAATAGCACTTCAGCTATTGGAAACTGGGCATATAGGCTGCGCAGAGATTAGAGGTGATACTGGCACTCCTGCAGATGGCTCGCAGCATGAGGCAGGAGAGCTTACTAGGCATCTGAACCCATTCCAGATTCTTCCCAACAGTCTCCATGGACAAGCCAAAGCTACCTCAGCAGATGTGAAGCTTTCATCTGATGCACAAGATTAAAAAAAGGGCATGTTTTCCAAAGGCAGTTGTACCCTGTTTCAGCTGGAAGGTTATGGCACTCAGCCCTTTTGAAGCTAAGGGGCTAAGTGCTTTGTCCGTGGCTACATGGACCCTTAAGGACCTGCTTCAGGATATATCTTGATGCTCAGGTGAAGGCAGGACTGAGTCTTTAGCTTCTAGATAGTATAGATCAAAGGGCCAGCATGGTCCTGCCCTGCCTGGTGAGGGACTCCTTTGCTGGCAGCTCTAATAGCACCTACCAGGAAAACTTGCCCTGTTCATGCCCACAATTGCCTCAAGGAGTATAAGATGAGAAAACCTTAATTTTTTGGTTATTGCACCTGTGGCCTTTTTCTGCCTGCCCCAGTTGGATTACCTTTCTGCCTTGGGTCCCTTTCTGTCTAGTTACATGGCTGATGTGTCCCTGAAGCTGGCAGTACTCCTACTGCTACAGTTCCTGGCCCAGTTGGAAGGATGGGGTTTGTTCACTTCTGAACCAGGGTAAACTGAGATTGTCTTGCAAAAGGACAGCAGAGTAATTGTCCCAACTGCGAGGTGTAGAGCACTGTTCTCATCCTTATGATGGAAGTTCAGGCTGCCTGGTAGAAAAACCTTGTGATTCTATGAGGCTCTAGTTGAACCAGTGATGTGATGTTAGACAACTTTCTCTGACCCTTTCCTTTAAGCTGGTGCCTATCCTGGGCTGGCTTTACTTAGCCCATTAGAAACCTTGGATCAGGCTTGATGCTCATGCAAAGAGGGCATAGTCCCTGGCTTAGGCTTTCTCCTGCTCAACCTGCCCCCTCCTTCTCTTCTCACCCCACAGCTCCTCTGTGGACAGGGGCAGAGATTGCTGTGGAGATGGGGCACAGTGGAGAGCGCCCTGAGCTTTGTCTGGGGCACGTCTTCCTCTTCCTTGGAAGGAACAAGGAGCAGTTTGTAACCCAGGGCGTTAGATGCGGTCCCTCGGCACCCCAAGCAGGTACTTGCAGGATGTAGGAGGGCAGAGACTGGCATGTTGTTTTTGGAAGCACCCCCGTGCACTTCTAATGGTTTTTGTCTTGTTTGGCAGGTCCTGCCAGGCAGAGCTGTCTTCCCGGCTAACCCAAGAGCAGGCACTTGGAGTGCTAGACACAAAGGGGCAGCTTGGAACCAGTGAGAGCAGGCGACTTGGTGAGAGTCAAGTGCTGCATGTGGGGAAGGAAGAGCCCATCAGACTACAGGAAAACCTAGAGCAAGCACCTGCTTGTGCTAGCACTGCTGAGGGGGTCATGTTAGAAATGATTTTGTAATGGCTGAACTACCAAACCTCAACCTTAGTGTGAAAGGTCTTGATCAGTGAGAGCATCTGAAGCACCAAGGGCCTTTGAACTTTCACTGCAACAGGGGTCCTCTGGAACTTCTTACTGAGCAAATGCTCAGGTCTGGCAGTTGTGGCTGTGTCCAATGTGAGGCTATAGCAGAGGCACTCAATGACAGTCCTGCTTTGCGGACCTGTGACTTCCCTTTGCTGTGCAGCACCTGGGCTCCTCAGATGTGTTATCCCATTGTGCTCTAGAGCAAAGCTTGACTCAAAAGTTCCTATCAGTTCCTTGACTGAGTCTGAGAAACTACCCTGTTAGGATAATTGAGGCAGCGTGAACCAATGTATACAACTGGGTAGGAATGGCCCATTGCATCCCTCCTGCAAGGAGTTTGCAAATGGTCCTGCTGTCTGATGAGCTGCCAGAGATACAACTTGCTGTTCTTGTTTAAAAGTGAGAGAGGTGGAGATCTTGGTGTTGTCCATCCAGTACATTTAATCCCTCTGTAATTCACTTAATGGTGACCTGCCCAGAAAGAGAGAGGGAAGGAAAAATCCAAACACATGAGATTATTTTAAATGATAGAATTGGAGGGGAAGAAGGAGGGGAAAACAATCTGCTCCTAATATAGATGATTTGAGTTCTTTCAACATGCAATACGGAACTCTTCCTGGAGCCGCTTTGGGTTCAGACACTGTCAGAGTTGACACCAAACCCCTGTTTTCACTGTGTTACAGAGAACAACATACAGACTTATAAATATGTTGTTTTCTTTTTTTCAAGGTCTGAAAGGATGGCCACCTTCCTTGAAGTCTCTGAGCTTGCCTGAGCTCTCAGCTGTCCTAGAGGAATGTGTGGGAGAAATGGGTAAGTTCATGGAGATCCCTGGTTCTGTGTTGTACTGGAGTTGGGGCAGGCTGTGCAGACCCCTGATGGCAGGGGTAGGTTGAAGGGACCTAATCGTCCTCAGTCATGTTGAGGGAAGCCTTCCAGCTCTGAAGCTGGTGCTCACATTTCCTTGCACTTCTCTGCTGCTAGAGTAGATCCTGCTGTTTTTCCGCAGGACAAATTCATAGGAAGAATCTCCTCTATTCTGCATCTTTTTCCCTTCCTTTTGTGTTGTGGAGTTTCTGGCTCTCCTGCGGAGGTGTGAATGCTGTTCTGTGCTTTACCTTGGTGCTGTTTCCTGTGTCACAATATGCTCTGCCAGTCCAGCCCACTCGCAGCTTTCCTCAGGCTCAGCTCGGGCACTGCTCTCCCTGCTGTCCCAGCAGCCTGATTTCCACTGGTACTAAAGCACTTGACTCCTGTGGCTCCACTTCTTTGCAGACATATGCTACATGTCTGCAGGCTCCCAGCATTGGTGGTTGTAGGACTCTGTTACAACATGCTCTCCCGCAAGAGATTCTAGGTGCTGGGAATGCTGCTGAGCATAAAAGCAGTTGATATCTGGACCTTGGATGGTTGCATCTATCTTGCTGAGGGATGAGTGTTAGCCAAGAGCGAGTATTTATCGCTTCTCTGTCTGAAACAAGCCCAGCAGCACTGTAGTGCCAAGCTGTAGTGTCAGTGTAACTTGTCACAGCCTGTGACCGCATGGTTATGGGCTTAAGCTGTAGCACTTGTGTGCAAAGAACAGCTGATCCCTGTGCTGAGCAGCTGAGGAGATGGGAATGTGGGCCCTTTTTCCAGCTGCTCAACAGCTCTGGGACCCTAATTCCTTCCCTGCGAAGCCAGGAACATGCAGTTCCCCTATCCGAGTAGGTATCTTCCTCACTGCAAAGCCTGAGCTCTGTTGTGTCCTCTGACAGAACCAGGTGAAGAGAAGGGCATGTGTCACCCCACCCAGCCCAGCTACCATCCCCTCCTCCAGCTCAGTTACCAGACTTGCTTGTGAAGTGACTTCCAATGGCTGTGTCCAGTTCTCCTGATAGCAGAAGCTTGTCCTAGCCTCTGGCAGCCAAAGAGGCTGTTGCTTAAGGAGCACTGGAGGCTGCATGGAAGAGGGCAGTGTGGGAGGCAGAAGAGCAGCAACAATGCAGCCTGCAACCTGTTCTGTGCCACGTATTGACCTGTTGATGCTAATGTTTTGTTTGTTTTCTTTTGGTTTGTCCTTAGGAAAAGCTCTGCAGACTGTGACTCAAAACCTGCAAAGGCTTCAAGCCCCAGGAAAGGGTGGGCAGAGCTGGCTGGAGCCGTAACACAACAGGACGGTGAGTAGGAAGCGTTGAAAGCTGTGGAATAGAGGGGGCCTTGCAGCTTGCAGCAGGCAACAGCCGTCTGCCCTGTGCGCTGGGCTCAGTCATAGCTTGCACAGCTGAGGCTCCACTTTAACTAGTCCTAAACATGTGCCCTTTGACTGTCTTGCCCTCTGGAAAATTCCTCATTTCCTTGTCCCCCTCATCTCACTGAAAGGGCGACTATCTTGTGTTTCCCGCTGGCTGCAGGAATACTGACGTCGGGTGACTGTTCCACCCGGAAGCTGAGTGTGCCTGGGAGAATGAGCGCGAGGGCCGCGCTGGCAGGACCGCGGCGCGGCTGGGAGCTGCAGCGGCTGACGGATAAGTGGAAGAAGGTCTCGGCCATCGGAGAACGTGCCTGGGAGAACAAGGGATGGCAGAGACAAGGGCTAGACAGCCCTGTGGGTCTCAGTGCTGTCTGGGTTCACAGGACCGTGGTGTTCATATCAAAAGGTTAAGTTAAGAGAAGAAACATTGAGTTGGAAAGCTTCCTGCAGCCTTCACTGCTAAGGGCTGTGGTGTTAGAAAGCTGACTGCAGCAGTGGGTCACCCTTTTCTGCTTCCCATCCTTCCAAAGACCTCCGACACGTGCCACAGCCCCTGCTATGACATGTGAATTGGTGGTTGTCCAGGAGCTGACTCCAAAACTTGCCCTAAGCAATAGGAGGGCAGACTTTTGGAGAGAGGTAGAGTGAGTAGAGTTAGTCTGTCAGCTCACCAAGCTGCACTTTTTGTAGCCCTGTCTTGAGCTGGCATTTCTGTGTGTGTTCCCTTTTGCCATTCCAGATGTGTCCTTCAAAACCTCTTCCTCCTACCAGCCCACCTTGCTTCAGTCTGGGTTCTTGCCCCCTTCATGAGTTGTTTGATTGTGCTCTTCAGCCTCAAAGAGCTTCTTGTAAATGTCTAATCCTAGAGAGGAGTTGTTTGATTGTGTTCTTCAGCCCCAAAGAGCTCCCCAAAGAGCTGCTTCTTGTAAATGTCTAATCCTAGAGATCCTGGTGGTCAAATTTTGGTGCCAGGGTTCCCAATGCTGAGCAGTCGCAACACACATGTGTCCCTGGAAGGATATGAGAGAAGAAAAAGACTCCAGAGACTGTTCAGTCTCCTGTGCCTCTGGCAGTTAGCAGAGTGCCAAGGCAGATAGAAGGAAGGATAGAGGTCTCTTCCCTGTGGAAGATGGGTTTTAAAAAAAAAATTGTCCCAGATAGCTGCAGTGCAAAGCTTCTGTCCTCAGTCACTGCTTGCCCTTGATTCCAAGCTGCAGTGTTTGCAAACAGATCTGCCAAGACGTTCTTGCACCAGCAGTGCAAGTGTTCGCAGCGTGGGAGAGGCTGACTCCCAGAGACACCCCATGTCTTGGAGGTCCAAGCAGCCCTATGGGCACCACTGGCAGCTCTGTCAAAGCAAATGGTTTTTCAGGACTGTGCAGTGATTCTCTTTTATTTGGTATTGACGAGCCCTATGTGGGGGAGAAAAAAAAAGAAAATTCTGAGCGATGGGCTTGAGGAGCCTGAAAAATTGCCCTTCTCTTTGCTGAGAAGGGGAAGAAATGGTGTTTTCTTTCTGTGTGTGTTTAGTTTTTTGTTTTATTTTTTTTAGCTTGATCACTGTTAGCAAAACACAATTGTTTCCAACTCCATCCTTGGAGCTAGTGTCAGCCTTTCCAATCAGCAGCCCAGGACCATTTAGGTGGGCTTGAAACTGGAATAAGGGTGAGTGGGTGAGATGTGTTGCTGTAGATCTCAAGGAAGAAAGGGAGTCCCACAGAAGTACCTTAGTAATGGTGCAGCGGAGACAAGTTTTTCATGCAGAAGTGTGTTTCTTTAAGGAGGCAATACCTTAAATGTAGAGTTATAAAAGCATTCAGTGCTGAAAGGGGTGGCTGTGCAGGCAGCAGGGAGAGTCTGGTGCTGCTGTAAATTAAACTGTCCTGCAGACTATGTCGGCTGGCTGAATAAAATAGCGTTTGCTGGCTTGGATTTTTTTAAAAAATATAAAAAGTAAACAACTGTTTCTGGTGCCTGGTCTGTAGGCTTCCCTAAAAGGAGCTAGGGTTGTTGAATTGTGAATACCCTGATTTGATTTCTTTCAGGACAGTCAGAACTATGTACAACTCTTTCCAGCTTCCTCTCCAGATACCTGCATGCTCAAGGGTTCTGGGGCTTCCCTATCCGGGGCTTCCCTGTCCCCTCTGTGATGGAGGGGACACCTTTGCACCACGAGCTGTATTGGTGATGGGGTCCTGCTGTAGCCAGGCAGTGCCAGTGCTGCAGAGGACTGTGTGTTGGTAAGAAACTGTGAGCTCCTCAGAGCCCAGCTTCTTCCTCTGGGCATTGACACCTTTTGCCCCCAGAAAGGTCCTAGTTACATGGCAAAGGTTATTGTCTCTACAGTGAGAATGGGGCCTCGCTAAGTTGCGTGCTGAGGTTTTTTGCTTCCATTTCTGCTCTGAGACTGTTGTGAGCTGTCTGTATGACCAAGCTCTTTCAAAGCCTCTGCCAAAGCTCTGATCTGTCACTGGAGATAGCTGCAGAATTGTATCCTCTTGGTCTCCTATTACCAAGTTTAAATAAGACAACAGCACCACAATCTCATTTCCTAGCCAGCACTAAAGCACTTTGTTTCAGTGCAAGCTAAGCTGACTTGGGGCCTGGACTGGCAAGAGTGGGGCAAAGAATGCTGCACTATGACCTTGCTTTTGTAGTCCTTATCCTAGAGCAGCCTGGCACTGGTCCAGTGTGCAGTGAAGATTTTCTGTCTTCATACCCAGTTTTGAAACTGCTGGAAAGACCTGGAGAAGCAGCTTCCTTTCACTAGGAGAAGATAGGGTCCTAGGAGTTCAGAAGTGATCCCTGTCTCCTCTCCTTAGCTTCATCTTGCACCAAGCAGCACCTCACAGAGGACCATATGGAAACAGAGGCCAGTGTTTATCGAAGAGAGCAAGTGGGGTTTTTGGGAAGAGGGCCACCTTTCCCTTCCTGAGGCAGGTGACTTCTAATAGGTTTGGCACCCATCCTGTAGCAGCACCCCCAAACACAGGCTGCCAGGGGCTGCTGGAGCTTGCAGCAGCCAGCAAAGGGGTGACCAGAGAGGGACCCAGCTCCTGCCCAGGAGCAGCTAGCTGCTGCTGTGTTTTGCAAATGGCTCAGCTGGGCGCCTGACTTGAGTAGCTGTTTGTGTTATTTATTATTATCATCATGAAATTGTTTCATTTTACCACTTACCTCCTTGCTGTATAAACTGAAATCTATTCATAAAGAGTAGAACTGTGCTCTGTATTGAGGCAGAGGCTCTGGGTACCCCTTTGATGCCTTTGTAACTGGGACTGTGTGTGCTTGTGGGGCAAGGTGAATATTGGTGTCCTTGCCTATGCTGCTGCCTTTACCTCACTGCCTGAGAGCTGTTTCCTTCCCTCAGGGCAGACGGAAGTGACATGCTCCATTTGCTGAAAAATAAACATTTATTTACATCTGAAAAGAGTTAATGTGCAAAATGGTCTCAGAGGAGTTATATCTATCCAGGAAAGAACTCCTGCATGACTTGTTCTCTGGTTTTGAACCCAGATGCAACTGAGCCTGGCATGACTCCTTTATTCCCTGTGCTCAAGGCAGCCCTCCTTAAGACATTGTATTTATGTGGTGCTTTCCATGTGCCTGTAAGCCCAGGGGGCTGTGTGAGCAGCTTGCCTGGAGCTGGAGAACTACCCATACCCAATTCTGTAATGGAGACTTGGAGCTGCTTCCACCCTCCTGCTGCAGCTGTGGCCGTTCATGCAACGTAAATGATGGTCTTGCAGCCTCAGCAGCACTGCTACTGGAGGTGAGAGCAAGGGCCTTGAGTGTTGTTGGCAGGTGCTGCCCTTTGGCTTTTAGGGGACAGCACCAGAGTTAGGCTCCCCTGGGTAGCTCTGCCCTCTAGCAAAACCAGATGCAAGGGACAGTCAGTGCTTGAACTGCAGAGCTGCTCTGCTCCCCAAGGGAGAGGCGTGGGGCTGCTCTGAGCCACGCGTGCTGGGGAGCACTGCTTGCTGCTGGCTCTTCTCATGTGGATGCTTTATGTGGGGATGTCGGATCCCTGTTGCAGTCTGGCAGCTGGGATGTGCCAAGGGCAGCACAAACGGGGCTCTCCCATCAGGTTCTGCAGTATCCCCCTCTTGGGATCAGTAGATTTGCTGAGAAGAGCCAGGAAAGGAACAGATTGTAGATTTTCTGGGTACAACAGGGCACTTGATAGGTGTGCAGCTAATGCTTTGGTGTCCTACAGGAAAACAAATAGCTTAAAACATCTGTTCAACAGCTGTGACAAAGTGCCCAGTCTTTTGTCAGTGGGAACAGTTCACAAGCCAAAGATGTTTCCTGTGTGGGACTCCATAGTTGTGGAAGGAGGAGGTGGTTAAGAGGCTGAGCCAAGGATTTGTTGAGGCCAAGGCTCAGCTCCCAGCTGTGTTCTAGGCTGGTGCTCTGGAGTCCCTGGCCCTCTGTTGTGGTTTTTCCCCTGCTGCCAAAGAAGAAGCTGTACTGCCCTTGCCTAAAGGGTGCTGTGAGGAGAAAAACTTAAGTACTTGGATGCTGTAGAGGCCTCTGCTCTCCTGCTCCCCTGATTCTGCTCACTGCAAATGGAGGCTCTGAGGTGGCTCTGCTGCAGAGGAGCTCAGAGAAGGGAGAAAACTGGTGTTCCCTCTAGCTGGAGGGGGAAGGGAGAGGAAGAGGGAGGCAGATGTTGCAGGAGGCCGTGTTCTGTGTCGGTTATGAGGGTAGTGAGAAGGTGCGGAAGGCATCTATGATAAGAGCTTCGCAGGATGGATTCCTCTGGAATAGACAGTTCATGGCACTAGCAATATGGCCTTAGCTTAGGGCAAGGAGAGCAGAAACAGGATGCCCTGGATCACAGAATTGCTTGGCACAGCTCAGGACACTTCACGTTTCCAGCTCTGGATGCAGTGGCAGCAGGAGATGCTTGTCAACCAGAATGGTGGCCGCAGATACTGTGCAGGGATGTTGGGACCAAGCAACGCTGCGGTGTCTCCCTGGAGCTTACCCTCTGCTGATGGCCAGGCTCCATCTCCAGCTGCTGTATCCTGTTGCTGCAGATGCCTAAGACATCAGTGTTGATGGGGAAGAAGTTCCTGTGTGCAGACCTGGCAGATGCCAACAGAGGTAGTTTGTGATGCTGTATGGTCAGGTCAGGCAGTGTAGAAATGAGCAGGCTGACCTCCCCCACGTAGGTTACCTGCTCTGTGCTGAACCCAATCAAGGTGAGTTTTTCTGAGGAGATGGCATTGTCTTGTAAGAGCCAAGCATGTCCATCTCAGTCCTAGACTGCAGCAGAAGGAATCTTCTCCACTGCCCTTGGATGCAGCACAGCTTTGGGAACTGCCCTGAGCCCAGCCATTCCTGATGCATGCT